ATCATTCCTCCGTCTATTTTCCTCTCTTTTTGTTAAACCCTGGAATTTTCGCGGGAAACAAACAGGCGAAAATGGCAGGCAAGTTTCTCTGAATGCGACGACACGATGATTTACACTATGGAAACTCCGACTTCCAGGTGACAATCCAATCTGTAAAATTTCTGTTTTTGGTTTTGGGTTTGACTAGGGGAAAGTTTTTCATCCCCCAATTTCCACCTTGAAATTTAACTCCTTGATGCCTCTGTATTTAGGAACGAATATTATCTATCATAGGAAATGGATCCTTCATGGAGCCTATTCCATGATGGCTTCTTTGAATTAATATAGAATTTTATGACATTATTGCTGAAAATTAGCTTTATAAACAATGAATTGAACATGCAGAAAAAAAAATGAATTGAAGATGATTTCTTGTACATATTTACGATGGATTCGATGATAAATTTGTGGAATGTGGTGTGAGAATCACAATCAAGGGGGAAAAAAATCTATTAGTATAGACATTAGTAAATTTAAGAAAGCAATTTTCTTCATCTTGTCTTGCAAAAGGGTTATGTCATAATCAAGCCTTGCAAAATGGTGCATAAGGACTTGTTAGGCTTGTATAAATAAGCTGCAAACTTAAAAGATAACTTTGGGAGATGTATATTTAGAAAAAAATAAAAATAAAAATAAAACATTTTTCAAATTCTAGTTCCTTTTATCCCTTGATGGAAGCAAGCTGCAGATCCGAGTCCCTTTCCCATAATAATTTGTTTTGTGGGAATTTGGCTATCAGCTTGGGTTTCTACAAGGAAGAGAGGTCCAAATACCTTTGACCTTATGGTTTGATTAATTTGGACCATATGGTAAACACATTCCACAGCTTGAACGTAACATGTGTCTAGATCTTGTGCAACTATTTCACATTTATTGTGTCTATCGTCAGTGATTGGGGAAAATAATCTGCTTCTTAGATCATAAATTCTATCATTTGTACAAAGAAAAATACAAATTTGGTAACCACTGTAATGAATAAAAGCTAATGTATTGCCAGATTCCCTTTTTTTTTTTTTTTGGCCTTTTCTTTCTCCTTTGCCTTATTGCCTTTTAGAATAGGCTAGTTACTATTTACCAACAATTATAATAAAACAGATTTTTAATTGCTAGTTCTCTTATTCCATTCCTTGTGCACGTTGAAGTTCCACACCCCTTTTCCCATAAGATGTTCTCTAGGAAATGCTGGCTGAGAACTACTTAGGGTTTCTACTAGAAAGATTAGTTATCTTCTAAACTTATGGTTCAGTCAATTTGGACCATCTACAGAACTTATTTACTCTCTCTCTCTCTCTATGTGCAATGAAACTATTTCACACTTACCGCGTGCCTAACTGTCTATCTTTGGTGTTCTTGCTGGAAATAATCTGTTTTTTGACCATAATTAATGGTATCATTCTTTCAAAGGAAAATACAGATTTGATAACGTATGAGTGAACAAAAGCAAATGAATTGCCAGGTTACCCATGCTTTTCTTGCCATTTCTTTCTTATTTGCCTTATTCATATGCCTCGGTTTCCTTGCCATGTTCAATATAAAATGACTAGTCTGTCAGGAGTATTACCCATGTACAAATATTGTGAACAAGTTTGTTCATCTTGAGCCATTGTCAGTATGCAGGTTTCTTCCTTTCTGGTGATTTTGTTCTAGCGTAATTCTATATGTTATATCTCTTGCTAGCCTTCTACTACTCTTTTGTGGTGTATTCTTTTTGCCATTTTCTTTTCAAATTGAAGTAATTATTTCTAGATTTCCTTTTTGTTTCTTGGCTGAGAAAAATTTTTCTTGTTTCAAGTTTAGATCCATCTTGATACAAGCAGGAATAGGAATTCCTGTTTTCAGTCATTCTTATTTTTGAAATTTTCTTCTTTTTTTTTTTTCTCAAATCTGTTTTTCTTTACGTAATGAATCTTGATTGGCCCTTCAACTTTAGAGTACTGTAAATCGTGTTGGAGAGAAAATATTTTCCGGTTGGCATAAATTTCAAAGCTTTTCTGGTTGATGCATGAGTTGTGATTCTAAATCTTTTCAACATTTTGAGAAAATGGTATCATTCACTCCTTTCTGTGCCATCAGATTTGTCTCATCTATCATTTTTTAAAACTATTTTGGTTATGGTCTCAGTTCCACGCTTTTCACTACTTTCATAAGTTTTCATTCATTATTATTAATGGCTATTCTCTAACTATTCTCTCGAAGTGTGATGAAAGCTTTTTGTTAGGATCTAGTTTAGAGGTCCTTCAACTGTCAATTTTTCTTCTGTTTGTGACATAAACTGATATGCTGGGGTCATTGCCTCCTCAATAATGTGTATTATTTTTAAAATTGCAGAATTGTAATCCTAGATTTAAGTTTTGTAAAGCTCAGGCACGCAAACAAGCAAGTTCCATCTCCTACTCCAACAAAAGCAGTTTGTGCTTTGCTTCCCTCGAAAATCCAATTGTGAGTGTTGAGGTGGATGAAGAAAAAGATGGACTCAGAGATGATGATGAGGAAGATGATAGGGAATTCAATATGATTTTAAAGTCAGATCAGTGATCTACCAAATCAATAAGTATGTGCATATCACTTGCCCTTCACACTACATTCACATTCATTCTTTAATTACAAGCATCTAACCTTAAATTATTCAAATTTGATGTCACAATTTGTTCCTAGTAGATTTGACATTTTATTATTCAAACTTTAGATTTATCTTGCTTTAAAATATGTTGAAAACCTTGAGGAATATACGGATTAAGCCTTAGAAGTACATTCATGACAACAAGTCCCTAGGAAAGTAGGAAGTTTACTGATGATTTTAGCTCAAGAATTTAATGTCAATGAAAGTTGATGATCTTGTGCAAAGTATATAAGCATGCATTCTATTTTTCTAATAATCAAACCCCCATACATTCATTTATGGTGTGGTGCAGTGTTACTATGATCCATCTGGACGTCTATACCACAGTATGAGGTTCTCTATGCATGGGAGAAAGCAGGATTGATCCTTCTTGATATGTAATCAGAAGGTTAGGATTTTTTTCCATCCTTTTCTTCTTATTTAATTGATTTTTTTTATCAGTGTAGATTACCAGCTATTTATCATTCTCCACCGTTTTGTTTTTGTCAAATTGCAGGTGCCATGGTTTCTCCACAACATAGCAAGTTGTCATCTGGATCTGGTTGTGCTTTATAGAGAAGACATAACCAGACAGAAGCAAAAGAGAAAGGTGATGCAGAAGCGATGATGAATCCTTCTCATACTGCTCAAGGACTATGATAATCATCCATTAAGTCCTGAGGTAGTATTAAGAGAGGACCAATACTGGAAGTAGAAGAAGAACCATAGATACCAACAAAACTGGGGCAAAGGCTATTTTGGTGGGAACCAAATGCATTTCCTTCAGTGATCTTCAATGATTTTGTATCTGTAAGTGAATATTTTTGTAGTTTTTTCACACATCCGTTTGTATTCTATATACAAAACAAGATAGTCTGACAATTCTCAACTCTTTTCATCTCTCTTATGTTTCAAATCTGACGTATCAACTTAAATTATTGAATTTGCACTAGAGCATTCTCTAAGTAGCAATATTATTAAGAATTTTTTTTTTTTTTTTTTTTTTTTTTTTTTTTTTTTTTTTGTCTTAGCAAGTCTAAAAATGGTGACATCAATTAATGTATGTAATGTAATTTTGTTTTGGCAGAAATGGGGTGGAACATAATGATATACCTTGTTGAGAGACTGAACGGATGGTGTTTGGAGCGCAAGCAACGGGTTACTTCAAGATAGAGTGGAGAACTTATGATATTCTTTGCTCCACCTTGAAAGACAATGTGAGGGCTCATGAAGGCTCATATCGTTTGGTTCAAAGTAATGACTATCTCTTGTTCAAATTATAAATATGAGGAAAATGCGAAACTTCTTTGAGAAGTTAGGGATATGTAATCCTTAATAATTATAATTTTTAGTAGATTAGGAGATTATTTGATGTCAGATTAGTGATCTACCAAATATACATCACTGTACCTTAATGAAGGATTAATTCATTATTCTATTGCCCACATCTAGTCTAGCATTGTAATGGTTGAGTTTGTATGTGTTCTTTACTATCCCTTCTGCTATATTCATTCTTCAATTGTGACAATAGGCATTATATTGAGTATGGTTTTGCATGAAGCTTATTAGAGATGCTGGATACTTAATGAAGTAAAAGGGGATCCATCTGAGAATGACAAAGATGAAATCAAGTAGAAGATCATGAAAGAACTCCATCAAAAGATAATCCAGACTGTTTAGCAGACTGAAATACCCCATTTTGCACAAGACTTTCATGCCTAGAATTTTAGATCTTGATGGCTTGGGAGTTGCTGGAGAAAACATTAGCTAGAGGCTGTTTTTGACAGATGAGCCATTCATTTGTAAAGGATTGGTTAATTTCTTTGATTTGTTTGCATTGAAATTGGTTAAGGCATCCTCTTGGCATGATATGAGACTGATCTTTTGGTACCTTGTAAATTAGTTAGTTACCAATGGTGGAGGCTTAAGCCCCTCACTTAATCTCAAATCAATTACTTTCATAGTTAGTAAGTGTTAATTAG